AACACAGCCTAATTTGACCCAGTCTTGCTGGTTGTGCTTGGCTGCCCCTCCATATTACGAAGGAAAGGCACTCAATGTGACCTTCATTACTTTCTCTGACATGAGTGCCTGCAGTTGGACTGTCCACAATAAAATAACCTTCCCCGACATCTCTGGACAGGGTACCTGTCTTGGTAAGAAAGATCACTAGCCCCAACATCAAAGACAACTGTGTGCACGACTTCACACAGATTTCCCTAGTAACCAATACCATATCCCACCCCAAGGAACACTTTGGGCCTGTAATACTGGCCTTTCCTCCTGCATACCAACCAATGTCTTTAATCAATCAGCTGACTTTTGCGTTCTTGTCTAGGTCCTTCTTCGTATAGTTTACCATTCTGACAATCTCTTTTTCCAGGATTTACAGGGTGCTTACAGAGTCAAAAGAGAACCCATGTCCCTAACTTTGGCTGCACTGCTAGGGCTGGGGGTCGTGGTGGGGGTGGGGACAGGAACTGCAGCACTGGTGACACAAGATGCCCACTTGTCCCAGTTACAGGCGGCAGTAGACCAAGATCTAAAAGAATTAGAAACATCTATAATGGCCCTACAAAAGTCCTTAACATCCTTGTCTGAAGTAGTCTTACAAAATAGGAGAGGGCTAGACCTCCTATTTTTAAAGGAGGGTGGCTTATGTGCTGCCCTCAAGGAAGAATGTTGTTTTTAATGCTGATCACTCAGGAGTCATTAAAGAGTCCATGAATAAACTAAGGGAGCGTCTCAAAGAGAGAAAAAGAGCACCTTGGAGAAACCACCTTCTCCTCCATGTGGGGGGTCTCTTCCCTTACATTGCCCCCCTCTTGGGACCCCTAGCCGCCTTGCTGTTACTGCTTACTGTAAGACCTTGTATTTTTCAGAGGATCATGACGCTCATTAATAACGTTAATAACAGGATTGACACATTTATGGCAAAGCCCATTCAGGTACATTACCACCGATTGGAAATGGCAGAACAACAAACTTATCGGGAAAGAACACCCACTGACGGCCCACATGATACTGTGGCCCAAATGCCCTGAGGCACTGGACAGGCAGCCAGAGATTGGCAACTAGGACACATATATTGTGCCATTGGCCACCTAAGACAGGCCCAGGGCCAACAGCTGTCCTGCAGGCCCATGATGGGTAAGGCTTGATTGGGTTCATATGAGGAGTCCTTGACCCAAGATAGGCGCTGTCCTCCCAGAGCCTGCCATATTCCTAAAAAATATATAATAATAAGGGAGGAGATGTAGGGAGCGGCTCAGAATGGCTGCTGCTGCCCTGCCCCTCCCACCTGAGGGCATTTTGTGTGTCAGCCTACATTTCCCATGATCCTCCCCTTGCCTACAGTGCACATGATGTGAGCAACTTCCTGCTTCAGCCTACATCTCCCATAATCCTCTCCTGCTTACGTCATTATCCAGATGTGACGATGACCTATCAGATAACACTCCATGCCCTCTTCCTGCCCCATTGGCCCGCCTCCACCCTATATAAGTTGTAGCCATTTTAAGAATAAATGAGACTTGAATGGAATCCCGCCTTGTCTCCGTCTCTCTTTTCTCTTGCCCAGCCCTCCATCTCCGTCCCCTCTCCAGGCGAGGACTACGGACCGATCAGCTGAAATGGTTTGGATGCCATTGCTGGAAAGCCTTGTTTGTTTGTTTGTTTGAGGCAGAATTGCATTATGCAGTTCAGACAGGCCTTGAACTCACTATGAAGCCCAGACCAACCTTGAATTCACAGAGATCCTCCTACCAGCACCTACTGAACGCTGGGATTACAGGCATGTGCCACACACTAGACTGGAAAAGCCTCTTGCTATGAACCCAGCATTAAGGGCAATTCTGCTGTCAGAGGAGAGAAGCTACAGGAAATTGTTCATTGTGGTTAAAAAATCACTTAAGTGATAATGATCAAAATGTCAGTGGAAATATGGAGAGGGAAGATGGTTATGAAGCAATTTTAGATGGAAATGAGGGCTATTTTATCGGAAAATGGGGAAAGACCATTCTTGTTATGAAGTAACAAGGTTTTGCTTAGCCGAAGTATATGTCCTGGGATTTTGTGGAAGTCGTAATTTAGGAGTAATGCAGTAGAACATTTGACAGAAGAAATACTGAACAGCACAGCCTTCAGGATTCTGCCCACTTTTCAAATGCTTACGGTAAAATGCAGAAAGACAAGAATCACTTAAAGATAGAATTTATAATTAAAAGGGAAACAAAATATAAAGATTTGGAAAATTCTCAGAATGGCTAGGTCACATAAAGGAAGAAAGGTATGTTTAAGAAAGAAAATCGAAATTCTGTCCAAGTAATAATTTTATAATGAGATTAGCATGATAAGAGTTAAACCAAGTCTGTTCCCCACAGCAACAGAAAAATGACCCTGAAGGTGCTGCAGTGATCTTTGATCTTTGGTTTGTTCTTGCCAGGTAGGTCCAGAATGGGAGCAGAATAGTTTGGGGGAGAGGCCAGGGCGCCTGTGGTGTTTCAAGGTTTGCTCCCCATACTCAGGCACAGAGTTCCTCTTTTGCCACTCCATGTGTGGTTTGAATGGGCCTATGTTCAGTTCGAGATGCTACTACGAAGGGTAATGAGGTTGGCGTCATCTGTGTGATGCTGACCATGAGGCTATCAGAATGCAAGAGCCCCTGAGGCCAGATTACTTCCACCCAGACATCAAAGGGTATCTCAGACAGCCTAGTAGTCCAGGGAGAGGCTTGCCACAGGGGTGGGGCCGCCACAGAGCCCCCACTTTGGTGGTACTGTGGAAGAGCTTTGGAAGCAAGGCTGCCCCTCATACTCCAGACTTGCAGTGTGCAATTATCAGCATGGGAAAGCTGAAGACACCTGACTTTTACCCCACTGAAACAGAGACAAAAAAACACCATGGGGACAAAGAGCAGGTACACACCAGGGCTTTATTACAGGGCCTGTCACCCCTTAAAATATGGTAGATGATTTTTCCTACCCCCTCACTATTCTAGGGGATTTTACCCATCTCAGAAACCTGGCTTATATGCCCATATCTTTTAATTACTATAAAGATAACAATAGGCAATGTATTATTATTCTATTAGTTTGTTATGAAATTTTGTTTTACCTTCATTCCACAAAATAAAAAGCCCCACAAAAATCTGGCTCCTCATTAAAGCCAGGATGCCTTCATCATAGTGTTACCAGTGTGATAAATTCAGCAGGTAAATTCCAGGCTCCTTTCAACGAGGAGCAAAGAATTGCAAGCACACAATCCAAATGGCAAGTGAAAACTAGCTGCACTTACTGAACATCAGGGAAAGATGTGCTCAGGGCAGGGCCATGCTGACAGGAACACAGCACGAACAAAAGTGGTACCAGGGCAACGGGAAAGTAAAATCACTGCGTACAGAAGAGCTCGCATATGACCAGGTTCTCAGAATTTGATGTGGCATTGTTGTGGGGCACCATAACCAACCCTTTTCTTGCCTAATGAAATTATGTACTTCAGCATAAGGCAGCGGGCTGAGCCTGATGGATCAAAAGCCAATCTTTGTGTTCACCCCTCGGTGCTGTGAACGGCAAGGTGTGTATAACTGTACCAAACAGTCAGCTCGAGATGTTTACTGACACAACACTCCATGTATTGTGTGTCTGTTCTAAAGCATCATAGGGGTTAAAATATACCAACCACCCTTGTCTTCTGCAGACATCTAATCTGCCATAATGAAATCCAGATGTGGCTGACAGTAGCCCCACCAGGGAAAGCAGGAACCAGTCTGTACCCACTAGGCAGACGGACGGCAAGGTGTGTGCAGCAGCTCCGAAGAGGTACCAGGTGAGTTTACCCCTGAAATGCTCAGTGTTGAATTGCTTGCATTTAGGATTTGTTTTCTTAAAAAGATTTCTGTCTCCTTTTTCTTGTAGAAGCAGCCCAATTCAATACAACAGCACATGAAAAGCCTGGTCTGTAGCTGCCAGCTGTCTATGCGAGAAAGCTTCAAAATGCAGTGTGAAGGCACTGCAGATTTAACTCAGCAGCATAAGCGCTCGCCTGGCAAGCGCAAGGCTGTGAGTTCAATCCCCAGTACTAAAAAAGAATATCACAGTATGAAAATATATGCCCTGTTGGATGTGAGGACATATACCATGTTTCCCAAAGAAAATGATTGTTATTGGTACATTTTAGCTACACATAATGATCACATTCATCACAGGGAATTTTTACCTGTTCATGATATGACTTGGTTCTTTTTTTTCCCATTCCCCTATCCTCTCTTCAACCACTTTCCCCCTCCTTATCTGCAAAAGCTTTGTCTCCATTTTTCCTCCTTTTACCCCCTTCCTTCTTTCCACTCCCCTCTCTCTCCCCTCTTCGGTTCCTCTTCTCATTTGAGTATTTTCTTCCTATTTCAAAATATTGATTATACATTTTGGCCCTTATTCACACTTTCAGTGTCTCACATCAGAGAAACAATGTGGTATTTACACATGTGAGTCTGATCTATTTCCTTTCAGAGTATGGTCTCATGCTGCATCTGTTTACCCAGAATTATCTCAAGTTTATCCTTCTGTAGGGCAGAGTAGTACTCCACTGTATAAAAAAGCCACATCTTCTCTATTCATTCACCACTTTGATGGGCGTTTGGGCTGTTTCCAAGACTTAGCTATTACAAACTGTGCCACTATAAACACGGGTGTGTATGTATTGCTGTGGTATGATGCTTGTAATTCTTTTAAGAAGATGTCAAGAAAGGGAATAGCTGGATCAAATGGAATCTCTGGTCCCAGTATTTTGAGGAAACTTGACACTGATTTCCACAGTGGTTACACTGTGTCTACCCTCCCACCAGCTGTGGAAAAGAGTCCCTTTCCCCCCACAGCCTGCCAGCATTTGAATTGATTGATTTCTTGATAGTAGCCATTCTTTTTATGGTGAGATGGAATTTTACAGTTGTTTTAATTTGCATTTCACAAATGACCAAAGATGTCGAATGTATTTTCATATATTTATTTGCCATTTCTATTTCTTCATCTGAGAAGTATCCGTTCGTTTCAGATGCCCATTTTTGAATTAGGTCTTTAAGTTTTGGGGAAGGTCTAATCTTTTGGGAGTTCTTTATTTATTCCAGGTAGTAGTCCTTTGTCTGAGGAACAGCTGCCAAAGATTTTTTCCCACACTGTGTGTTGTCTCCTCACTCTGGTGGTAGTTCCTCTTGCTGTGCACAAGCTTTTCAATAAGATGAGACCCAAGTTGTTGATTATTTGTGATAGTTCCTGTGCATTTGGAGTTTTGTTTATAAAGTCATTGTATACACCAATGTCTTCAAGAGTTTTATGTATTCTATCTTCCAGAAGATTAGTGTTTCTGTTTTAATATTTAGACATTTGATCAATTTTTATTTTAGTTTAGTGGATGGTGAAAGATATGGGTCTAGTGTTAATCTTTGGCATGTGGAAAGCCAGATTTTCCAATATCATTTATTACAGAAATTATCTTTCTTCAAGTGAATGTGTTTGGCATCTGTATTAGAGAAGTGGCTAAGCTGTTTCTGAACCTTCTAATCTGTTCCACTGAACCACGGGTCCATGTGGGGTTTTCCCCAGTATCAGGCTGTTTTTATCACAGTAGGTTTATAGTATACTTCAAGTCAGGGATTGTGATGCCCCTGCCTTCCCTTTGTTGCCCAGTATCTCTGTTGGTATTCTAGGGCACAAAGACATATACTTTAAATTTAGAAATTATTCTGGAACTCAGCTACCAGGTCTTTATTTGTGTGGTAATGAACAAATGATGCTGTGAACAAATTTGTTGCTCCCATTCCCCAAACCAATAGGAAAGTGATATTCAACAGTTTGTTCACCAGTGTCAGACTGATGTTACATTTGCTGACAAAGCACAAGTTGCCCAGCATAGGCACTGCACACAATCACAAGGCAAAAATTCCCAATGAAGTGCTGCAATTTCAAAACAGAGAATTTTGTAGTACAATCTTTGAATTTCAGACAGATATAACATTGGAAAGAATAACACACTGGTACTGCTGATGGCCACATTACACCACGATGGAAAAATTCAACAAACCTGAAATGGAACCTGAGATGGAAACTTTTTAGAACAAAAACAAACCAAGTTGTTGTTGAGTTTACACAGCAACTCTGATGCTCCTCGAAACACAAAGTGCTGGCCAATTGTGTTTTACTTCGTCCTAGACATGTGTGGCATGAGTCATTTGATAGTTTACAAAGAAAATAGCAAATAAAAAATATCATGGAGAAATTTTATTAGAGGATTGGCATGGGGCACTCATAAGAGATCATTTACAAGAGAGGAAGAGCAAAATATTTTTGCCCAGGGAAATACACCAAAAAAAAAATTGTGGAGCACACTGCTGAGCTGACAGGTGAACAGGCAGGTGCAGTATCACAAAGACCCACTGTGACAACAGGAAAACCAGAACGATGTCAGCTGTGCCCTACTAAAAAAAAAGGACGGAAAACAAAACAGGGGCTATCAGTTCAGGTGATGCTGCCCACAGTGCATGCAGTTTTCGTGTATGAAGACAACCGAAGCAAAGATTGTTCTGCGGTAGACTTTTGTTCATGTTTATATTGTCATTCATGTAGATATTTACTTCTGATGTTACCTTTTGGGTTTTGTAAGCAGGTACACAGTATATGAAAATGTTGGTGTCTATTCTAAGCCCTCATTACATATTTGATATTTTATTTTATTGATCTTATTTTCCTGCTAAGTGCACATTTTACAATATAGTAAGAAGCTCCTAATAAAACTGTAAGACTACTGAGATGTAAAGTTTATCCTGCAAAAAAGACAGGAGAACTAAACACATGGTGTCAGTGTGAGTGAGACTCTTGCACAGAATGTGCAGTTGTCTGCGTGAAGACTACCTTCGGTGTGACAGTTGAAGTAAAGATTAGTTTGGTTGCAGAGTTATATTGGTATTTTCATTACAGTTTATACAGAATTTATTTCTGTTGTTATTTTTTAGACTTTGTAAATCAATATTGAAAATTTTGATACTTTTTTATGAACAATAAATATTAAAAATTCAATACTTTATTTTTGATATGTTTTCCTGTTAAGTATTCATTATTTAATATAACAAAACTCATAAAATTATTAACTCATCAATAGAAATACTTCTAAAGAATACGTGTGACTTTTATGCACCCTTTAGTATGCTCCTTCAACACAGAATTTCCAGGATCCCCCAAGGGTAAGAGTGTGCACCTCAACCCAGGTTCTCTCCCTGAATCTCTAGATATGACTGACAGGAGTGACTGACAGGGTGCTGTGTCAGTTCAGGGGTCTTAACCTGCAGGCCTATCCTGGAATTCACTCTGCTCTTAATTATACACATAGTATATAATACCTATGCATGAACTCTTAATAAGATTGGAGAATGGCGAAGGAAGCAATCTCCCAAGAGAACTAGATTTATCCTCCAGAAATAAAGACCTCTCTGGAACCATCTAGCAGAACCAGAACTGAAATAATAACCACCAGACCCTCATCCACCCCAGTAAACCCCATAAAAGTTGGCCCCTTTCTTTTGTTAATGGGACAGCCATATCTTCCTATTTTTTTTTCTTTTGGAATTGATGTGTCTGCTCTAATTGTGTCTCACTAAAGTATTTTGTAAATATATATTTCATTGATCTCATAGACCCACAGATGAGAGCAATTTCCCTCAGGATGAAACACAGCTTTGAGTCTCGTCAGTATGTTATTTAAATAAGAATCTAGACTAGACTTTTGAGTAGATGATAGAATAGGTTAAAGACTTTTGGGGCTATTGAGACCAAGTGAATGCATTTTGTGTGTGAGGATATAAGTTTGGGGAGGCCAGGTGTGGAATACTATGGGTTAAATGTGTTCCCCCAATACTCAGATGTTGCAAATGTGATGATGAAGTAGGATGGAAAAAGTGAAGTATGATGGAAAAAGTGAAGTACGATGGAAAAAGTGAAGTACAAAGGAGACAAGGAAAATCATACATTTAAAAACTGCAGGGCTGGGAATGTGGCTCAGCGATAGAGTTCTTGCCTTGCATGCACTAGGATCTGGGTTTGATCCCAGCACCCCCCAAAAATAAGTACCGTGCTTCTACAGATCACCACCTTCCTGTGTCCAGGCGCGCAAGGATCTGTTGATAATAAGGAAGAGAAATGAGAGGGAATACAGTGAGCCGACAGGTAACTACACTTGTTTCATCCCTTAGGTCCCTTTTTTCTTCCTCCCTTCCCTATGGGGGGAAAACCCAGGACCCCGCCTTCTGGAGCCAGCATCTGCGTATTGTCTGTGCGTCTGGATTGAGGTAGTTTGTGCTGGGCCTGAAGAATTTTGAAAGACCAAGTTGTCTCTAAAGACAAAATTGTGACTTTTAAAGTTCCATTTTTCCCTACTGTTTACAATTCCCATCACGAAACGGGAGCCCCTATGGCCTGATTGCCTCCTAAAGGCTTTGTCTCTTAAGACTACTGTCACCAGCTGAGCTGAAGAGATTCCTCAAATGGGAGATGGGGACTTCAACTCACTTCCATCACACAAAAATAATTTTTAAGGCATGTCAGTGAGATGCATGCAGAGGTTTATTCACACACTAAGAGGAATAAAGAGAGACTTCTCACAGGCAGGGCACATCACAGTCAGGGACTGGGGGTTCTTACGTGGTCCCGAGGGTATCTTCAAGATGGGAGTCCAGGATATAAGCTTCTACTGTCATCAGGTTACCCATCTAGTAGGCTATGCCAGAATGCAAACCATCTACATGTGTTCAAAGCTGGCTTGTGCTGCCTATTTCTGAGGAAGAAAGCCCAATTACAGGTGAAAAGCATGGGCCCAGGGCCAAGTTTACAGGCTTTCTTGTGTCTTTAAGAGCCTTAGGAATTTTTTTTGGAGTGTCCTGAAAGGAGGAAGGCTTGAGAAATTATTGTATCCTGAAACTGCAGGTTTTTAAATCTTTATTTATTTTTTTGGTGGTGCGGGGGATCAAACCTAGATCTAACCCACTACAGCCCCGACTGGGCACAGTCTGTATTAGGGAGCAGTGCTAAACCTGCACATGAGTATCTAGGAACTAATTGAGCTGTGTTGGATTCTTGACTCTGAGAAGGTCCCCCCCCTCCCAAATCCCTTGAGAGGGGCCCAGCCACACTCCTGGGAGAAGGGTCCTGCCACACACAAACAATAAATGAAATTCATTCTATTGGCACTGGCATCCAGTGGACTGAAGCGATCAGCTTCGTAGACGCTCAGGTCTTCCAGTTGGCACAGTCACATAAGCAGCCTTCCAAGATAATTATTAAAGTAGGTCTCAACTGTGGTAGGAAAGCTCACTACTGTAAACACTCAGATCTGTGAACAGCCTCCCGAGAGCTGCGGAGACAGCACAGATCTCACATCGCCTCCCTCTCCTACACCTCTCCTTACTACACTCTTCTTCCCTAACACTGGGGCCCTAACTTACCTAAATTGTCTCGCTATTGTAACCGTTGCAGAGAATTTTAGCTGTCCTCTGGATACTCGGCCCCCTCTCCTGTGATATTTGCATTTCATGCATAATTTGTCTATAATGTTACAAACTTCACACTCCTACATTTCTACTGTTATGAGAATGAAGAATTCTATTTTAGCACTTCTCTTTATCAAGCGAAATTAGCATTTTCACATTACATGAAGAATAAAAATTGTTGGCCATCTCCTTAAAATGTCTGGGGCTCAGCCAGGCCTGAAATTTAAGTTCTCAGCGTCTGGGAAATTTTGCACAGGTTTCTCGGTGCAGCCTGCCGTGCATCTCTTCTTGTGAGGATGACCTGGCAGACTTTCCTTCACAGAAACCTGACCTGCGCACCATGAGAACTGGCTCCTGATGTGGTTTATCACCTTTGTTTACAGTTTCCTACAGGACAGCAGGTGCAGACGCCTCCTCACTAAAGGATGTACCTAAAATCTTTCAGGACCAGTATGAGAGCTTTATGTTAGGTCTCACCTCCAGAGCAGAATCAAGGACTGTGTCAAGCAAGGACCTAGAATGAAGAAAGAGTCCCAAATTCATTTTCCAAAATCCAGAGATTTCTGTTCTTAATAGTTATGAAGACCTCTAATAACTCTGAGACTGTCATTTTTATGAAATCTTGTTATGAGAAAACAGACAATCTAAGCAGGACAAATACTAATTAACTCATCAGACAGGGGCAGAGACCAGGAGAATAAGTGGAAGATCTTGTTGACATCTTTTACAAATCTATGAACCTAATGCTAACTTTAAGAACCTAAACATTGGACTTCCGGGAGAACATGGCGGACAGATAACAGCAACTACCGGAGGCTCTCTGAAAGACTCGGCTCAGAAGCCAGGAATGGTGCGGACTAAGGAGACATAAGCAGGTGGAGATATGCTCTGCTGATTCAGGAACGAACTGGGCTGAGAGAAACCAACTTGGAATGCAGTCCTGGCGCTAAAACAGGAACAGAAAAGCCTCAGTGTGGAGGCTGGACTCCACGCCATTATAAGCCGCAATTTGGGTTTCCCGCCGCGCGGCGGCTGGCTGCCTCTACAGTGACTCGGCAAGGAGAGAGATGCGCAGAAGCTCTGAGAACAGCAATCTGCGAACGGCAGGGAGGCGTGCACTGACTTGTGGTGAGGTGAGTGAGAGAAACTGACACTCTACCATGGTTTGACTCCAGCAGAGGACTTTCTGGGCCCGAGCAGTCCTGCGGGAGCAGGGCGCGGTGGCGACTCCAGCCACACATCCCCCTCTCGGGCGGGATTGGTGAAAAGTGCCTGGCCTGCGTGACACTGCCGGAGGACCTGGTAGGCTGTCCCAACCCAGATCCCAGAGCCTGACAGTGGCCGGGAGGGGAGACGCGTAGGCTGCCTGGTCCATAACTCCCTGGTGCGCAGCAGTGAGCGGGAACACCTAACTGGCGCAATTCGATCAGGCTGTGGCTGACTGGGAGAGAAGCTGGGTCTCTTATATAAGCTTGCATATATAAGGAACAGAGAAGAAGAGGCAGCATGGGAAGAGGCAGCAACAAGAAAGGCTCCTCGGCCCCCAATTCTGAGAAACAGGCAATAGCAGACACCGCACCAATACACATAAGGCGCCATATAGAGAGCCTCATAGACCAATTCAGGAATGAAGTTATCAACGACCTGAAGCTAGAAGTATGCAGAATAGTTAGAGAAATGCTAAGAACCACCCAAGAAAAAACAGGTGGTGGAATGGAAGAACAGAAAAAAAGGGGAGAATTGTTTGATGGAGAAAACAGAGAAAGCATAGAATACGTGAAGCAGGTTCAAAGGGACTACCAAGATACTAAGAAGTCTATCGAAGACTGGCATAACAGCTTGAAAGAAACTAAGGACAGACTATCTGAACTGGAGGGCAGACTTGTAATATGGGAGAATGAAATGAAAAACTTCTTAAAAATAACAAAGAAACAAACAGCAATAATACAAAGACAAGAAGATGATAAGAGGATCCATAACTTAAGGATTAAGAACATAAAAGAAGAAGTAGGGACACAAACAAGTGAACTACAAAAGCTACTCACAGAAATAATCCAGGAGAATTTTCCTAATTTAGCAAAAGGTAAAGATACTCAGATGTATGAGGCATACAGGACCCCAGCTACCTACAATCCAAACAGAGCAACACCCAGGCATATAATAATAAAAATTCCAGAAATTCAATACAAGAACAGAATATTAAAAGCTGTCAGAGACAAGAAACAGACCACTTACAAGGGAACACCCATCAGAATTACAGCAGATTTCTCTGCACAAACCATCAAATCACGAAGAGTGTGGGGGGAAATAATTCAAGCTTTGAAAGATAATAATGTCCAGCCAAGATTGAGATATCCTGCACAACTGTCCCTGGAAATTGATGGAAAAACAAGGTGCTTCCAGGATAAAGAGGAACTGGGGAAATTTGCAACCACCAATTCAACTCTACAGAGAGTATTGCAGGATATTCTAAAAAAAGAAAAATACAAAGAATCCAGAAATAATGGCAGAGAGGCCACAATGAGTGGAGCAGAGAACAAAATGAAGAAGACAAACTGACAGCTACTGACAGAAAAAGAGCTCAACAGAAATGAGGCAGAGAAGATTGGATGATAGGAACAGCTATTTTGGAGAAAATGACATCTTAATAGGTAATACTGATTTAGTATCATCTTGTTTTGAAGTTTCATCTAGCTTTTGTCCTTCTGTCTCCAATGGTCTAAATAGGCTGTATCTTATTGGATTTTATTATGTATGATGGTATAAGCAAAAACCTTTTAAAGACAAGGAGATTATACAGAAACCATTGTTCATTTTCTGTTAGTCGATTCTAAATACTCTGTAATGCTGTCATTCTCTTGAATGGTTTTACATTGTTTTGATATACTTAATGCTACAGTATACGAAGTTGTACTCAAGGATTTCAAAGAAAGAGACAATATGGAAACTACTTTTAGGTTAGAATTATCTGGTGGTGAAACACTATTCTGCTTAAATGGTTATATTTTGATCTGCGTTGTTTCTTTGTTATGCCCTCTTTTATCTCAATCTCCACTCCATTATTTACTTTTTTATCTTTATCCTTTTAATTAAAGGGAAAAAATAGCAGGATATATTATAGTAACCCACTTTGACTTTTCATTACCTTGATTTAAAGCCCTGTATTACTCTCACCATCTTGTTTTTGACTGATGTTCCCCTATTCTGTTTTGCTGGATAGTATCAGGTTCGAAAGTCTAGGCATCAGCTGTGAAGATAATGAGATTCATTATGACGCCCATTCTTGTTGACTTTTATCTACTTTTGAAGACCTACAATGTCTCCAATGTTTTGGTTTTGTCAGTTTTATTCTTTACTGTTTTGTTCAATTGTATTATAACTAACGATATAGGCAATTCTATTAGAGATAGCGGGAGGCATTATGGTAACCATTGTTGATCACCTTGTATTATGTTTTTACATTATCTATTATGTCCACCCTTTTGACTTGACCGATTCTGTTCTGTTATGTCACATTTGGTTTTACTCTCTTCCAAAAAAGCAATAAGAACCGTGGGAGCAATGAAACCCAAAATGTGTAATAGTCATGGTACAAAAGAGAGGAAAAGAAAGTGCGCCAAACTATATAACTGCATGTATATTTAAGTGTATAAGATAGAAAATGATATCACAGAGTTTTATTGGATCAATGAACAGAACTGTTTGCAGTATCATTGATGGAATGTCCACTTTACAAGCTTTAATTTTGTGACTTGAACAATTATTTCTAAGATGACAATATGTAATCCATTAACTAGTGATTTCTTACTGTTCATTTTTTTTTCTGTAAATCTGTATAACTTGTACCCTTTCCCTGCTTTTTTTTTTCTTTTCTCCTTAAATAAAATTTAAAAAAAAAGAAAGAACCTAAACATTCTTCATAACTTACTTACAATGTTAAGAGAAAGAATTAAACTGAGAAACTGCATTCCAGTTGGAGGTGTTTCCAGGCAAGAACCCGCCTGGGATATTACAGACGGCTAAGTGAGGTACAGCAGGCAGTGGGTAGAGCTGGGTCCTCCAGGGAATCAGGACAAAAGGTGAAAATACACCTGGAATGCGGCCAAGATGCATCAGCTGGAGGCCAGGCCTCAGGGTAACAACAGAAGGACCAGGCCTGCACATTCCCCAGGGGGCGAGGAAAGTGACAACACCTGGTCTAATTAACAGTCTAACTCGGCATCAGTCATCCCCAAGGGTACAGTCACCCGCCTGAAAAGTTCTTTGATCTTTCCATGTCCCCCCACTACGTGCCTTGCTTCCCCACTGGGTCAACATTACCTAAGCAGCTACACCTACAATCTTACTGGTCATAGCTGTAAATTATACTGTACCCATATGGGTTTTGCTCTGTAAAATTTCCTTATAAAGTGGGGTCCTCAGCTACCATTTGGGATCCCTCCTGTTCCTCAGGGAGGAGGCCTTCTGTCTCTCAATAAATATCTTCCTACTCTTGGCCTCCACTGTTCCCAGAATGTATCAATTTTTAAAAACCACAAACTCGGAGACGTAATAGATGTCCATCAACTTGGGAGTTACATTTCCCTTACATCATATTTGGAGGTTCTTCTGATGTCATCCCTGTTATATCCCTGTTATCTATCTATAAATCAAAAAACTGCGGCATGGAAAGATTTAGTAGTTTGAGGTTTTACTGGTAGGAGGTGGTAGAGTTAGGATCAGAATAAGGTAGTTCAGTGTTAGAATTCCTATCTTTAATCATAATTCCAGAAGTGCAACTCTGACACTGGCAAGACAAAACAGGCTGGGCGCAAGTGTGCACACCTCTATTCTCAGATACACAGGAGGCTGAGGCAGGAAGATTGCAAGTGCATCCTAGGCAATTCTTTAAGACGTTTTCTTAAACTTTTTTAAAAGAGAAAAAAGATAAACAATGAAATCAAGTTTCAAAATAGCTTAGGAGGACAGTTACAATAATTGATACATTGATATTATTGTCTTCTTAGTAGTTATCAAAGTACAGGATTAGGCATGAGATTTTGTGTAAACAATATTAGCACAAAACATTCTTTTCAAGGGTGAAAGAGAAGTTAGCTTGCATATATATAATTTATGCAATGTCTTGCATATATATAATTTTTTTCTTTTTCTCTTTCTTCTTTTTCCCTTTTCCCCATCACAGTTTGTCTTTTCTTTTGAACAGTGTTTTCTCAATTCACTGTATCTATTATATATTTCTTATCCTATTTACTTGTTCAGTTTCTCACACTAGTGAGTCAATACAATTTCTATGCCCCTGTCTGATGAATTCATTAGTATGCATATGATTTATTTTACTTATTCTTATGGTCTCAAATTGTATTGATTTACCTATAAAAGTCTCAAGTTTATCTTTCTTTATGGCTGAATAGTATCTCATTGTATAAAAAAGTCCACATCTTTTTTTTCCATTCCTTGGTTAATGGGCACCTGGCTTGTTTTCAAAATCTAGCTATTACAAATTGTGCTGCTATAAACATGGGTGCTCATATATTGCTGTGGTATGTTGTTAATTCTCCTAGGAAAACACCCAGAAGAGGAATGCTGGGTGGAATGGGACCTCTAATCCTAGTCTTTGAGGAATCTCCACACTGATTTTCGCAGTATGATATCAGTCTATGCTCTCAAACTTCTTTTAAAGGGTTGGGAATATAGCTCAGGGATAAGGTACTGCTTAGGTTATAAAAGGCCCTGGTTCAACCAACTGGTACAACGACAACAAAAAGTCAAAAGGAGATGGATGACCTAGATTCTACTGTATGAAATACGAGGGGGCATGCAAGGAGAAGGTGTTGGGCCCGAGTGGGGGATGGGAGTTCTTTATTCTATGATGCAATGGTGATCTCAGGACAAACTGCCACTAGGCTGAAGAAAATGCCCTGGCTGCTTGAAGATCTGCTTGGGACCACAGAAGACATGGGATTCCTCTGGGGCCCACTAACACAAGCTCTAGCCTGCAGCCACTGTGGCCACTGCTGCCTCCACAGTCCAGGGTACCTGGTGGTACTTTTCTTATTCGCTATTTGGCAGATTCAAAGATGGCAACAGTGTGAGTCCTGGTGCTCTGGGGACATGACGACAGTCAAGGTGGGTGACTGACCAGGGATATACAGGTGGATATGTGAGGTTGGGTGAGGGAGCGCTGGTATGAATGCGGCCCCCGTTGGGACACTAGATTTCAGGCTGGCTGAGGGTCCTTTGACAAAAGATCGGAAGCCTGCAGTAGATGTAGGGTTAGGGAAGGGCATATGATCTCCAGATGAGGACTGGGTGATGACCACTTACAGCGGATGAGGAGCTGTGTGGCTGCTGACCAGAGAGAGAGGAGAGGCTAGGTGAGACGTTGTTCACTCCCGAGACAGAGCAGAAAGTGAGGACTTCATAGTACTGTTCGCATCACTGAGTGCACTGCTGAGAGGATCTTTCTCTGTTCCCCAGGGCCTGCCACTTCTGTATGATTTTGCTTTCTTCAGCCATCTGCAGAAGCGAAAGTCCAAGGAGAAAGAAAAAAGAAAAGAGGGGCAAGGTGAGAGAGCCCAGTCATCATCTCTGGATCCGGTGAAACCGTGCTGTCCTCCCAAAGATGCTCCCAGGGGCGATGGAAGCAGTGCAGGCCCGCCCCAGCCACCCTGTGGTTCTGAGAGCCTCTCAAAGGCCCCAGGGACAGCATCGCAAACACTCTCACAGCCCTCAGGCTCCTTCGGCTCCTCCCCCGCCTTCCAGATCCCTACCACCTTACCTGTCAGAAACAGGAATGCACCAGAGAGCCGCCTGCAACACAGAAAAAGCCAGTTTTTCTATGGTCCCCCCTCTCAGCACAGTGAGTCCCTGGAGACTATCTTTCTGGGCTCAGACAGCTGCTCTCCCCTGAAGTTATCTCTCTCTTCCGTCTTCAACAAGCCTCTTTGCCTGCCCAGGTACAATCTCTTGTTTCTCCGCTACTGCTCCCCAACACAGCTTCCTACCCGTGAAGCCCACACTAGGGAAGACCTGGGAGGGATGACCCCTGATGCTCAGCTAGTTCGGCCTTCATCTCCCTCTCCTGTCCCACCTGCATCTCTCCGTCACAAGCCCTTGCCTGTGGACTACCATGCAGACCTATCTGGTGGTGAGGCAGACAAACCGGGGCTTACACAGGAGAGAGAGGTTCTTTGGGAGTCTGATGATCAAGCCCTGCACCCACAGCCGGAACTCCAAGGAATCAGAGCCTCGAAGTGCTTGTCTTTATCAGAGGCCTGCAGTGGAGAGGTATGGCACCCCAGACTCCATCAACATAATCCAGAATCATCCTCTATCTCCCCGCTGAATCCTTCTAGTCCTCTGGGAGTCCTGGCCAGGTTTGAGTCCCCACTGAGAACAATGAAACAAAATAAGCACCCAAAAGACTCTGAGCCAGCAATGCCAGCTCCCAGTGCAAGCCCAGCTTTTCTACCAGAGCTCCGGAGAGTCAGCCCTATAGGAGCCCTATCTGGGTCTGAGGACCTCGGGGAAGGGGAAACCAGAGAACAAAAGGGGGATCGTCAGCTCTCTGAGCCCCTGATCCTGGCCCCTCACCAAGCCACAGTATTCGTGATGGAGCCTCGAGGATCTAGTCCCCCCAACATTCTAGCTGGGGATGAAGCTCAGTGGGAAATCACCGGATGTAAAAAAAGACCCCAAGTTTCTGAACCCTCAGTTCTAGCCCCCTGCCAACCTCCAGCTTCTCTGTCAGAACCCCCGAAAGTCAGCCCTACAGGAGGACGTTCTGCTCCTAAGAACTTCCAGGAAGACATGGGATACAGAGATACACCTCAGGTTAAATCTGCAGTGCCAGCCCTCTACTCTCCCCCAGCCTCTTCCTCAAAATTCCAGGAAAGGAATCCCCCGGCAGATTCACTTGGGTCCGAGCCCCAGTGGGGACACAGAGGAAACCCAGGAAATCCCCATGCCGCTGAGCTCCTCTCCTTGGACCTCAATCCAGAACTCTATGAAACCAGCCCTGTGTGTGTCCCATCAGGATCTGAGACTCCAAGGAAGGGCATGCAGAGTAGAGAAGATCTTGGGGTCTCTGCTGACTTAGTTTCATCTTCCAGGCTTGCTAGCCTTCCCTCAGCCTCTCTGCGGCAGTCTCAGGAAATGGGCCCCCAGAGGCTCCTGTCAGAGTCCAAAGCTTTGTGGGACACCAAGGGGCAGAAAATGCACTTCCGGCTGCCTGATTCCTCAGAGACAACTCAGAGAACACCTCTAGTCCCCCCTGTAGAACAACACAGAACTAATACTGTGGGTGGCCTCCCTAGATTAGAAACTACAGGGAAGGACTTTGAAGATTCGAGGAATTCCAAGGCTTCTGAGCCCCCATCTGTGGCCCTCAGCCCATCCCCTGTTCTTGTACTTGAACCTCCCAAAGTCAGGGTTCTGTCTGATGAAGCCACATGTGGAAATATACAAAGAAAAAAGAGCTCGTGGGTCTCCCAGCTCCCAGCTCCCAGCTTACTCCAAGACCTACATGGAGCAACGCCTCTGGTTGTATCTGACTCTGAGCCTGTCACAGGAGACATGGAACAGAAAGAAAATGACTGTGTCCCTGTGTCTCCAGTTGAAGGTCCCAGCTCACTTGCAAACTCTGTTACAGAGTCTCACATAAACGAGACTTTTGGAGACAAGCCTGCCAGGGAAGGAGCAGAGCCAAGAGGGAAATATCAGGCCGCTGAACTCTCAGCTCCCAGCTCACTTTCTGCTTCTCTACCAGAGCCACACACTGACCTTAAATTTTTGTATAAAAATGTGCAGCAAAACGAGGTCCCCTGGGTCCCTGGTCTTCCCATAGGAGATCTCCTACACCCAGTATCCTGGCCTCCCATCCTAGATGATGTTCTCGGGATTGAGCCTGCCCAACATGCCCTACAGGAAGGAGAAATGTTTGCAGGGGCTAGGGCAGAGGCCCCATCTTCCCAGGCTCAGGCCATCCCAGTGGTGCTCACCCACCCTGAGGTCCCCACCTGGCAATGGAGTAGGGAGCTGGAGCACAAACTGAAGAAACTGAAGCAGAACCCCGCTTTCAGATCCCCTGGCCCGAGTCAACCAGCTTGCAGCTTCGATCCCCTGAGTTCCACTCACCTAGACCCCCGCAGACTCCTTCCTTGGGCGCTGCAGAAAACCCACCCTCCCAATCCGCACCTCCACTCTTCACATCGTCATCCCCTGAATGCTCAGCTCAGAGCACCTCAGCCTGTCCAAGCCTCCCCTTGTCATCACTTCCTCTCCTCTCAGGTGCCTCAGCCAGAAGCTTCTCACCAGGCAGAGCCAAGGTCTCACAAAGAGGAGAGAACAAAAGAGAAGGTGGTGGCTCAAATCCCATCCCACATGCTAGGTTTTCACAAAAAGGCTGGTGAGAAGTGTCCAGAGGCGGGCAAGGCCTCGTACACTGAGGTTCCGGCCTCAGGCAAGAGACAAAACAAGCCTTTGGTCCTATCTTTGACCAAAAAAAAAGAGAGTCCCAGAAAACCCAAAGCAACAGAAGGTTCACAAGGGAAGGCAAGACTGGGCTCACCCACAGTCATGGGAAAGAGCCACAGGGATCAGGCCCGGAGACCAGCAGAGGCCTCTATGAGCACACTTCCTTGCAGGTCTCAGCAGCAGGCCCGGCCCTCTCAACACACTGCCCTTTCCCAGCCGCTTTTCAAGGCTGCCGGTGCTGAGGAGCAGAGAAGGGCAGGGCTGGTGCCTGGTGCCATCAAGAACCCTCAGCAGAGGGTGCACTGCAAGCACTGCCCATGGGCCCGCATGGAGAGGCACCTCCCAACTGCTTCCCCACAGGCTCCCGTCACCAGGGATCTCTGAAGGGTGTCAGCCAAGTTTCTGGGTCATCATGGAGCCTGCCAACAAATTCCAGTCAGTTAGAGAAAAGTCTGGTAGCACTGACACTCGGTACCTCATGACATCAAGCTAAACCAGGTAGAAGAAGGGAGGAAGGAGAAAATCCTAATAAACCAGGTGATTTACACAAGTCTCACTCTTGTCCACTGCGGAGTGTGGGGCAGTGGGATGTGAGTTCCCTATTAGCGTCTGGTACAGCCATATCCCCTCAGAATCAGGTCCTGAACAATGTTATTAATACTCCTAACGTGCTCTCTGTAATAGTTTTGACCAGTTCTTCTTAGCTCTGTTCTCCTCCTCTTCCTCTTTCTCTTCTTCCTCCTCTTCCTGCTCCTCCTCCTCTTCTCTGGTCAGCTCACCTATTCCCAAGGCTTAAAAAACAAGAGGCTTTTAACAGGTTTAGTGACACCAGGATTTTTCTTCTATAATTGCCTATTCATAACAATTACTCATTTATCTACTAGCTTTCTAATATTGCTATAAAAATCACCACAAAATAGCACATATCTATTTTGTCAAAAATCTGATGTCTCACAGGTATAAAGCCCAGGAGTTGGCAGGGCCACATTGCTTTTCGGTAGCTCTAGCTAGGATTCGCCCAAGAGGCTGCCCGAATTCCTCAGCTCTGGTCCCTTCAGGGCCAGTAAAAGCAAGGCAAGTTCCCACATTTCCTCACTCTGGCCTCTTCCTCTTCTATTTTTAGAGAACTTTGTGACCTGGATCCACTTGGGTAATCATCCAGGACACACTTTCTATCTTAAAGTCAATTAACAACCCTTAACTCTATCTACAATCTTAACTGTCCTTTGCCATGTAAAATAATATTTTCAGATTCCAATGATTAGGGTATGGACATCCTGGGAGGTCATTATCCTGCTTACCACAGTAATTAAATCAATCTGTTAAGCATGTTACAAATACTTTCTCCCAATCTGTAGCTTATTGTTTATAGTAACATTATACCAACGTTAAAATTTATATGTTGGTAAATTTAATGATTTTTTTGAAGCAAAATCTTCTATGTAGTTTAGAGTGACCTTGAATTATGCAGCCCAGGCTTCTCTCAAAACCACAATGATCCTCCTGCCTCAGCCTCCTGAGTGCCAGGATTACAGGCACGTGCCACCATTCCTGGCCGGCACCGTTGCTTATGGCTTACAATAACACTTTCTTTTGGAATTTGCTTTGTATACTTATGTTTGTATTGATAATTAATTTTTGACAGTATGGCCAGGCATGGTAGCACACACCTATAGTCCTAGCTCTTGGGAAGCTGAGGCAGGAGGATCCCTGTGAGTTCAAGGCTGGCGTAGCTACATAGAGAGTTCAAGGCCAGCCTAAACTACCTAGTAAGATCCTGTCTCAAAAAAGAAAAAAAAAGAGAGAGAGAGAGAGAGAGAGAGAGAGAGAGAGAGAGAGAGAGACTGTGCTTGATCTTCAGGGAAATTTACGAAAAGGGAAAGACTTCCTCTGTCTCTGTCTCTTAGACAGAAGCTTTCTTTCCCCCGTAAGTATATTCCGCTCTTAAACTCTGTTGTTCCTAGAATTCATTCGACTTTAGAGAACATGAACTCATACCAGACATCGGTTGGGAGAGTCTTTCCCTTACCTCACTCCTGTATGGGATGCCAGGGAAAAGAGCATCACAGTTACCTAACGGTAAATTCCACTGTACAGGCAGGCAGTAGTCTAACCTGTCACTGACTAAGGAGGCCCCTGCTTTAGTAGAAAGTAAATGGAAATTGAAACTGAAGTGACAGTGTGAATTTACAGGCAAAAGCTTTCATCAGGAAGTAAAAGAAAAGATAGGGAAAGAACTCCAGCGTGGGTAGCTGGAGCGGGCGCGCTTGAATGAAGAGGGGCAGATCAGATGGGTTTGGGGGTGCTAGAGTCTCTTTGTTCTTTCTGTCTTGAGCAAAAACTGGTCAAGGCAAGGTTGGTAACAAGGTTTCACACTTACTAAATATTGGAAAAGAAACAGGCTTTGCAGAGTAAGTTAGGGCCAGGTAAAAACAGGAAAGTAAACACAGCACAAGAGTGAAAGGACACAGCAGCCTCGAGCTCAAAGCCAGTTGTCTTTTTTGTGTTTCCCACCCTGAGGCTCGCTTCCGGTCTAGGCCATCTTATCAGAGGGTTGCTGGAGCTCTAGGGGGACGCCCACACAAGCCCCCCCACCCCCCCACCCCCGTTCTTGGGTCTTGTAATTAACAGATCAGCCCACTTTCCCAGCCAGCCTTAGCCACGCCCTGCTCTCCTGCTCAAGCCTGCTCACAAAAGCAGGAGGCCAGATTTCCAGGGTTAGCTGAAGGGGGCTAGCCAGGGTCTTCAGTCAGCGCCTCAGTTTTGGTTCCCACAGCTCTGGAGGAATCCTTTGTTGTAAGGGGCAGTTCCAGTGATTTCTGTGTGTGTCATGGTCTCAGTCACGAGAGTCTGTGTTTCCTGGGGTCCAGGTGATCACAGGTTCCAGACGACGGCTGGAGACTTTTAGGTCTCACTCAGAGGTATGAATCTAGAACTAGATGTTATAAAAGCTGGTAATTTCGTATCCCTGTAAGTGCTGAAAATTACATCATTTTCTCTTAGCAGCCTCCATCTTAAAGAGGGCGAGGTAGGCTATGCGGAGCTAACGGGCCACAGACAGGAAAAAGGATCAAATAGGATCTCAGTAACCTTGATTAAAGAAGGACAGGGCTGGTGCCTGGTGCCATCAAGAGGCGCTCAGTTAGACTCAAAGACAGCGAGTCAATCAGATGGCAACGACTTCCAGGGACCATGAAGAGCTGGAAGAAATCACTCCTCCTAAAAAAGGAGCTTAGGACAAAAGTCCAGGGATATTCACTTCTGATGCGCCTCACCCTCTTGAAGTAACTGTCCAGCCCTTTCTTTTCCATCTTTTCCCCAGTAACTCATCTTTTATTATAAGCTCTGCCTTTGTAAGGCACTACTGATACTGAGAGTTCAGGATCGCAGCAGGATCCCAGCACCTGTGAGCTCCAGCAGAGCCCTGGCGTGGTGCGTGCAAACCCCTCCCTGACATGTGACAGCCATGTAAAGTCAGGGTTACTAAACCCTGGCTTGCTGATTTTCCTGACTGACTAGCATATCTACACCTAAAAACTCAAGATAGAAAAAGATACAGAAAAAATGAAGGTCAAGCTTTGCTCTCCTTTTAGTTACCTATTGTGAACTATCTGTAGGCCCAAGTGAAGAGTCGTGATTTTTAGGAAAAAAAAAAAAAAAAAAAAAAAAAAACCACTGTTAAGCCCCTGCTTGCCTCACAAGAAAATACAAAGCATGCTTTTAATGAATAAAGGTGGGCTGGGGTGTAGGTCAGCAGCACAGCACCTGCCTGACAGGTGTGGGGCCCTGCGTTTGATGCCCAGTACCAAAAACAAGAAAAAAGTGCTAGGTCAAGCATCCAGGAGTTTGTCTTTTGCCCTTAGAGTAGTAATCTTTGCATTTGTTATGGCTATTGTTTAACTTCACGTGGACTAGATGCCGGACACAAAATAGATGCTTAGTAAATATGTGCTGACAACCTGTGTATAATTTAAAAGCAATGATAGCAGTAATAGAATGTTAATTTTCCTGTTTTTTACAAACTTCAGTACAGTGGTTCTGTTAGTGAGATATCTGTTACCAAAACAAACACCTGAAATGATAAACTTAGAAATAAAAAAGGTGCATGTTGGCTCACTGGTTCAGAGGTTCCCATCCATTGGGGGTGACCTCTATTCCCCGGAATGCATGGCAGAGCAAAACCACTCACTGATAACCAGGGAGAAAAAGAGGCAGGAAGAGGCCAGAGTTCAACAAATCCCTCTGGGGCTGCGCCGTCACCAGTGACCTGAGACCCCACTAACACCGCCTCTGAGGATTCTACCACTTCCAGGAGTGCCAGGCAGAGGACCAGGCCCTTAACACACGACCCTCTGGGGGCCGTTATAGATCCCAACTACAGCGGTGGTGTTATTAGCTGATAAATAAAATAATACTGCATTCATATATTTTATATTTCATAAGAATATCTGAGAATATTTACACATATGCTTAAATAATTGATAGAAAATACTTGCCTATCACTATCACAAAATACTACTTTATAGAAAATTTCTGAAAAAATTCTCCACATTTTTAAAATACACTGTAATCACTGTCTTCTCCTCCTTATCCCATCCTACCTCTCTCTAGAATGTAAATCCCTACCTCCCTGTTAAATATTGCTAAATAAATGAATAAAATTGGTGCAAAACATTACCTAAAGTTAGGGATACTAAAGAAATGTAGCCAAGGAAATAATACATATACAGACTTTTATGGTAATTATAATGACTAGTATTTACTAAGCAAATATCTAGGCTCTATAATAAGCATTTGACATGAAAAAATTCTATAATATAAACTACTGTCAATTTTATTTCTAAAATATCTTAGAGGAAATTGAAGTTTAGGGAGGTCAGCACTGTGATTAGGTGCCCACATATTTTTCAACTTAGCAAAACCTGAATCGTCTTCATAAGTTATTCTTCGTAACAAAATTACAGAGTAAAATAATATTCAAGTTCGTATTATTTGAATTCTCAAAGTACAAGTACACGAAAGGCCCTCAGTGAGCATCCGGACTGCTCAGTCCTTTGCAAGAAGCTCAGATTCTTCCCAGATGATTACAAATGTTGCCTGTGTCACAAGGCTGTGGTGGGGGAGAGTTAATAAACGGTTACAAAATCCCTCGTAAATACAGAGTGCTACAGAAATGCAAAACATTTATGACAACAGTAATTAGTTCTAATCGCTCTCTCCACTCTGGGTGCAGCTGTCTCTCAAAATTCACTCTGGGAGTTTAATAACCCACATCAATAAATAAATAGCCTCCTCCCTCCTCACTCCCGCTGAGAAGCTGTCCTCTCTTCTCCCACTCCCTGCCGAGCACCCTTCTCCCTGCTGCTCCCTTCCCTAACCCCAGTGGCATCTGAAGGCTTAATGCTGATACTAATACCAAAAAAGGGGTCTGCCTGAGCCTTCAGCCTTTCAAACTCCTGCCTTCCAAACAAAATTGGGCACAAGGGGCTGGAGAAACACATGGACCTTTCAAAACACAACTCCCAGCCTTGCACTATGCAGGAAGGGAAA